CGCCACCTCCATGTCAGCTTCCACTAGCAATGTGTGCTCCATTACTACCCTTGGATATAATGTAAAACGTGTCTCATTAATATTTTGTCACATTGGAGTGATGAGCATGAAGACTGAAATGATGCCGCCTCCAGGCTGCTAGGTCACCTTCCTCATAGTTTAATTTTAACTCTCTTCGAACGTTACTGACGAGCGGACGTGTGGAGGGTGAGGAAATTATTGTCATTGTATGTAGCGTCCCCTATAAAAGGTCATTTTGTAAGAATTATTCTTGTGATCTGCGAACCTTTTGAATATATTTTTTGCATGGATTAAAGTTGAAACAGGAAAAGTAACTAAAGGGAAATAACAACGAATATTGTTTAAAGAATTGTGATTAAGTTTTTAACAGGAAAGTTGACTAAAGGGAGATAACAGCTTTTCCCCCTTGCCTATTTATATGAGATTGACGCCATCTGATTAATAGAAAAAAATGCATATGATTGTATTATCCAATAGTGTATTACATGTATACTTAGTATATCAATTAACTGTAATAGCGGATAGAGATTCCAGGATTAAAGATGTAAGTCATTGATCTGAGAGAGGTGATGATTTTAGAAGTAATAGAGATGATGAGTGTTGATGAGTGATGATGAGGGATTGCGTTTAAGTAATGTCAGCGTTAGTCCTATCTTCCTCTGCTCCAATGAGTCACGAGGGACGTGGGCACCCTCTATCCCGTTCCCTACTGGAACCATCTTTACGGTCACCATGAAGTTCCGAAATGGTGGGCTCAGTCTCTGCTAAGGTGACATCGTTAGTGTTAGCCTATTCTATCGGGCGAAGACAAGTGTAGAGAGGAGCTAAGTGGGAAGACAGTATAGTGGCAGCCCGGCAGGTATGTTGGGGGTATTTGTAAGCTGGTTGTAGATAGCAAGTTGGCAGATTATGATCTTTAAAATTGCAGCATTCTACTCCCTGATCCTGTGCCCCGAGTATTCTTTTCGAGTCCAATTGAGCTTGGAGAGATTCTGACACAGGATAACAGCTAATATTAGTTTAAAGAATTGTGTGTTTTCACCAAGCGGAACATTTTCTCTTTTATCGCTTTTTTTTTAAAATCACGATCAGTGTGAAAATAGCTTATTGATTTACTGTAGAGCGAGAGTATCATTTCTAAGAAATTTAAAGACAGTTCTAGTGTATGCTGATTACAAAACTGTACACAGCGAAACTAGAGAAGGTTTTCAGAAAAGACCGTGCAGAACTATCTTTGGTTATTAAACTGTATGATTAGAGACAATTTCACTTGGAAGATGTAAAATACACCTTGTTATAACAGCTTTCTGAACAGAAGGAGGACTTTTGCAGTGGTGATGTGCAGTCATAATGAAAGTTGGAAGTGTTTCATAGTATAATATTACCTCGGAGGCTGGTGAGCATCGCAGTTCGCAATGAATGTTGTTGATTCATGCAATATATTGTATATTATGTTCCCTAGGCAGTTTATGGGGTTGAGGGTAACGCGGGCACTGAGAAAGTGAAAGAGTTAACCTTTTTGTTTGTGAATGTGTCTGATTATGTATGTGCATAATGTGCTTCTGCATGTTTACAGAAAAGTACAATATAACGGACAAAATGGACACATAATAATAATAATAATAATAAATAGCATTTATACTGCGCATTTCCATTTCCTAAAAGATGCTCAATGCGCATTACAATGAAAAAAACATCACATCTCAAAAATTAATCGACACAAATGTGTACGTAAAACAAAGTATTATACATATAATATAAATGCATATGTGTAAAATTTTATACCAGAAAAACAGTCTCGCAGTGAGGTTGAAAATGTGTTCACTAAAAATATACAATGCAATATAAATTCACGAACAGTCAAAATACAGTTGAAACATTCATTAAAACATTAATTCTATACAGATAGAAAAACATTTCCACTCTATCTCTCTCTCTCTCTGTCTCTCTCTCTCTCTCTCTCTCTCTCTCTCTCTCTCTCTCTCTCTCTCTCTGTTTGTCTGTCTCTGTCTCTCCCTCTCTCCCTCTCCCTCTATCTCTCTCTCTCTTTCTCTCTCCCTCTCTCGCTATCTCTCTCTTTTCTCTCTCTTCTCTCTCTCTTTTCTCTCTCTATCTCTCTCTTTTTCTCTCTCTCATTCTCACTCGCTATTTCTTCAGTCTCACAGTCTGGCATACACATGCATATATATCACAGCACATCATTATGACAGGTATGCTTTTGTGAATAAAAAATGCTTCAGCTGATTTTTGAAAATGGAAATTGTTGGGGCAGATCTTATTTTATATGGGATTTCGTTCCATACCTGGGGACCAAAGAACAAAAAGGAACGCTCGCCGTATGTTTTGTAGTTTTGTTTTGGAGTTTTAAGAATTAGATTGTCAGAGGCTGATCTAAGGGCTCTAGGTGGATTATATAATTCCAGGAATGTTTTAAGATAAAAAGGTGCACTATCATTTATACATTTAAAACAGAGAACGGCAGTTTTGTATTTAATCCTTTCTTTTATTGGCAGCCAGTGTAGTTCTTTCAGAATTGGTGTTACGTGGGCTGATTTCTTTTGTTTCATTATCAATTTTGCTGCTTGATTTTGAAGTACTTGTAACTTTGATAGTTTTTCGGATGTCAAACCGGACAAAATAACATTACAGTAATCTAACTTTGATAAAAATGAGTGTTGTTACAAGTGTCTTGGCTGCTGCTTTAGTTAAATAATTTCTTACACTGCCAATTTTCTTAAGCTGAAAGTAAATACTTTTGCTGAGCTGGCTTATTTGGGAGGACATAGACATATCATAATCCAACTGAACCCCTAGATTTTTAAGACTTCTTTTTGAACGAATGGTATGGTTATTAATATCAATTTGTAGCTCTGGGAGATTTTTAATGGCTTTTGTATTTCCACTCAACATTATTTCCGTCTTGTCATCATTTAGTTTCAATTTATTGCTTGTCATCCATATTTTTAAATCTCTAGTACATTGTTCAGTAGAGTCGACTAAAAGTGGTATTTGATCGAAATCAATAGACTTATAAATTTGAGTGTCATCAGCATAAAGATGGTAATTCATGCCATATTGTCTTAAAATATCAGCAATAGGTTGTGTATACATTGTAAACA